TTAAGATACAAGTGAAGCAGGCACATTGTAATGTGTGTATAGATAGTGAGTAATTGAACTGCAGTCAGAAGTATTATTGACGTTCGTTGATATAGCGTTTGTTTAGCGCGATTGTTGAAGTTGAGTGTATCGATAAAGTTGTATTCGGAAATAATAAACCAGTTTTTATTAAGAAAGAACTTGTGTCGCTTAAGTTTCGTCGGAACGAAGTTACGGAAAATCAATTAACAAACGGAGACGTAACAATATTAACTATTAGACCAATGTGAAGTACAACTTTTTCAATATATTTCAGAAAACCAAAATGAAAGCAATGTGTCACTTACAGTGTCGCCATTATTATTATTATTGTTGCAAACAAGCATACACGCTGTAATTTATTTATAAACTGTAGTGTGTAATATTTGCTTTACCAACAAGAAAAATATATTAATTCAATTAAAAGATCTAATAATGAGGGTATCATTCAGAGAATAATATAATGAAATTTCCACGTTTCATTTATTACGTTCTAGTTTTACAATAAACATGTAAAGCAGTTAAACATTGCAAATATAATGTTATGACAGCGGAAGTCACGTGACGCTAGTAACACGTCATGAGATCCTAGAAGGATCATGTCTGTTCATGGCAACTCTATTCTTCTCTATGCGCCCTCTATTTTTGTATATATAAGCCGGCAAAAGAAGTGACGGTATAGATAATTGCAGACAGGCAGAGATAGAGACGGACAATTGAGTCAAGCGCGGTAGGAAGTAAAGTACGTGAATCGTTCGTTGTGAATTATAGCGTGTGTTTAACTTAAAGTGACTGTGGAAATTAACTGTATTGCAAAGTTGAATTGAGAAAGAATAAACTAGTTTTATTTAAGAAAAGAATTGTATCGCTGAAGTTTCTCGGAAAGAATTTCTTCGAAAAATTAACAAACGAACACAGACGTAACAATAACTTTGCATGTTTTTGTTTTCTCTAACATGAAACTATAATACTTTAATCCTAAACTCTGAAGACAAACTTGTTTCATTAACTGTTTGTTTCGACATCCTTGAATATTAACAATCTGATTAGAAAGGAAAGCAAGGAATTGAACTATCGTCTTCCCAAAGAAGAAAACTTGATTAATACTTTATCAAGCAAAAACTATATTAACAATTTGTCAAGCAAGTTGTGTCGTTACATGTTCATAAACATAAGTTCCACTGATTCATTACACCAACTCCAAGGAACAATTTTGTAAACAATGTTTTTAACGTTTTAATTTGGTTGTTTGCTAGATGGTGCATGACCTTAAAATTGAGAAAGTTCATACAAGTATCCTAGAATCAAGAAACTTCCCGTACTTGATAGAAGTGAGAGCTCAGTACACATACAAAAACCAAATGATTGAGTTAAGGTTCGAGTAGTGAGAAATTAATTAAAAGTTAATGAGAATTCAGTTAGCGAGAATTCAATGAGAGTTATCCTGTCTGTTTAGTCACTTGATCAATCAGCGAGAACATTCTGGACTTTGTAAGTTTTGTATTTGTCAGTTAGGCGTAAGTAATCTTAGTATTAGTAATAGTGTTACAGTTTCTGTTGAAAATGAAACTGGAAATGTTGTCTGTAAACTTAGGCATAGAATTTGTGTTAAAGTGAACGTAGCCTGTAGCAAACATTATAGAAAAAATAATAATTAGTATCGTTACGTGGATAGAACTTGACATTATTTTTACCAAATAATCCAAAGGAATCTTCAAACTAGTTTGTTTGTTTGTAAATAAGCACAAAGCTACACAATGGGCTATCTGTGCTCTGCCCACCACGGGTATCGAAACCCGGATTCTAGCATTGTAAATCCACAGATATACCGCTGTGCCACTGGGGAGCGCCCAAACTATAGAAAAACGATACAACAATACTATGTACAGTACATTATGTGTGTGTGTGTGCATACATAAAATTATTATGCATGCCAATCGCTAATAGAATATGTGAAAACATAAGTTAATTAACATGGTTTAACATATGAAAAGATATTCATAATAGGTAATAAAAATGAAAGTCGAATGTTATGAATTATATCACCTCCCTTTGTTACTCCCTTTTATGAATTGTATTGTTACGACAGCGGAATTCGCGCGACGCTGGGAGCATGCGCTGGAATTCTAGAATAATCGAGGAACCTGTCGAACGTCGTAGCGTTTGTTAGACGCGCGCTCTTATTGTATATAAGCGCGGCAAACAAAGCGAGAGGATTAATCGGAACTGGAGTAACAGATATAGAGATTGAAGATAATAGACACAGTTAATCGAGTGAATTGAGCGGTAGTGACCGTAAGTAAAGTGCGTGAGTCGTTGTGAATTATAGCGTGTGTTTAAGTTAAAGTAACTGTGGAAATTAAGTGTATTGCAACGTTGAATTGAGAAAGAATAAACTAGTTTTATTTAAGAAAGGACTTGTATCGCAGAAGTTTCTCGGAAAGAATCTCTACGGAAATTTAACAGACGAACACAGACGTAACAGTATAATATTTTGAAATAT